ATATCAACGTGGTCAATATCAACGTGGTCAGTAAATATTGATGATTGGCGTGAGGAGATCAAGGTAATTTGTATTTCTAATTTATTCTACAATTCTATGTTTATTTATTACAGAAAATATCTAAGGCTAACGTAATATTTCGCATTAAAAGTTACATTACTCAATTTTATCGAATTCTATTAAATGTCTTAATATTTATTATATGACAATAACCTTTAAAGTTTTAGTAATTGTTATACGATCGAGAATAGAGGAATGCTTTGACACATAAATTTATCGGGGTATATTTGACACGCGTGCTTTGTCTCTGAATAATCACATATCATGATTGTTGATTAATTAAAATATTATTTTATTTATCTTGATAATGAAACATTATTGTGTTATAGCCCGAAAAGGCTATATACGAATTACTAGATATATATTAAAAATTTAATAAATATAACTGCGTAAATGTCGGAAGGTTCCAATATACCGAAACCAATAGCGAACCGATCATGGTTACTGAGCGAACCAGCCCGACGAGCGATTAACTTAAGTTTAACACCGCAAGAAAATCTTTATAACGCGCGAAGAAACTTAGAAACTCAATACTCGAGCGAAAGCGAGCCCGAGTTACCGGAAAACGTCGTCACAGAACGCGAATTTCCATTTAACAATTTGGACGAAAGCCTACTCCCGCGTAATACGACTGACCCCACTGACAACACTCCACGCGAGACTAGACGTACGCGACCGTATATTGGCAGAACTCTAAGTAGGGTATCTTTACGACGCGAATTTTCGTTAACTTCCTACGAGAGCGATCTGTTCGATCCGGAAGAGATTTATAGCCAACAAGAAAATAATATGGCCGAATCGCAAAATCCGCAAGAACGCACTCCCGCGAAACCGCCGCAAAGCGCGGTAGACGAGGAAATAGAACACATGCGACGATCCATTCGCCAGATGGACCAAAACATAGCGGAGGCGAATCGCACGCCGCCTCCCGAAACACATCGCGAGGAAAGAAGAGATGATACGCAACTCTTCGAAATACTAAATGAAATGCGTACAGAAATAAGAGCATTAAATAGGCGAGTAACGCGAGTAGAAGACGCGATTATGGATTTGCCATGTCACGGATGTAACCGCCGAGAGAGTTTAATGCCACATACGGGCGAACCGACTGCGACATCAGAAATCGACGTAGCATTGCCCGACACCGCAATGCTTTAAATACGGAAAAAACGGACATTATGGACGCGATTGTCGAAGTAGCCGATGCGTGCTCCCGAAACCGGAAAAACCCTCGCGAATAAACGCGATAAATAAATACTGCTCGCATTGCAAAAGGACAGGACACAGCCGAGACGAATGCTGGAGCCTGAACGGAAAACCGAAAAGTAATACAAATAAAATAAAAATCAGTAATCAGCAAAAAACGCGCGAAGAAAATATAATATACGCGACCGAAAGAAATCGCGACAACAGAAAAGGAACGCCAATAGCGCAAGTAGCGACAGCGAAGACGAGCAGGAGGAAGCGAGAAAGAGACAACCGCGACCTGCATCTGAGTATCGCGTTACGCATATTAAAGATATGCCATGCGCACAGAAAAAGACGGACTTATTGCTAATAACATTACCAATGTGACAAGCAAAAGACGGAAAAATACAGATGTTGTACGACTCAGGGTCGACCATCTCATTAATAAAATTGAAACATTTAAAGGACGACATACTAATACATGAAGGTAAAATCGCGCTCACAGGCATAACCGGGCATAAAGTACACACCATAGGAAAAATGTACGCCAAGATTAAAAAAGAAAATCACAAGGTAAAACACGCATTTTACGTTGTAAGAGACGACATTCCGATCAAATATGAAGGAATACTAGGAATTGATTTCCTTCGACAACATTCGGTATCTTGTGATTATAATCAAAATCAATTAAAAATAGGAAACGCCGTACTGAAATTCCATTCGCTTAACAAAACAATCCTAAAACCGCGCAGCGAAACCATCGTAAAAGCGATAACGAAGCAAAATCGGATAGGAATAGTACGAGCAGAGGAAACAGCTCCAGAAATCTACCTTGGAAACTGCTTAGTAGAACCTAAAGATTACACGTGTCCCGTTAATATCATAAATACAACCGATACGAAAGTCGAGATACAGACGCCGAACGTCACCCTCGAAGACATAGAACGCGATATCGAATCCAAAATACATACGACAGAAGAAAGAAAAAGTTTCAAGCCTACCCATTCGAGATACGGACAAATCTGACAGCTACTACGCACGCAACATTTAAATACGGAAGAAAAACAGGCACTCCTACGGATATGCGAAGAATATTAAATAGGGGAGTATGGCCGGTTCTAACCCACCTTGCTTTGGAAACTCCTCGTAAGAGTGAGAGAGTGAACATGGAAGATCGCGCAATTGTTGCAACAATCCGTCCGTAGGACACTCAATACCGAGTACGTGAAGGTCGAAAGGACCCCCAAGGTCACGATATTCGTGAATTCGTTGAACGCGTAGAATTGACGCTTTGCGAAAAAATATAGGTTACCGTCGATGTGTCGGTAGGTTGATGTTATCGCGGGCGGTATTCCTGGAAATATATCTTTCAACGGAGCGTGTCTAACGGCTATCATGCGACATTCGTCGATCTCCGCTACTTTGTCGTCGTCGTAGATCGCGTAGGTTTGTCCCGTATGCGTGTTTATCGCGGCGTTGATCTTAGCGTCTCGGGGAAATCCGATATCGTGGAGAGATCTCGGTCAACCAGGTTTTAGCTTAAAACTGGGATATTCCGCGACATAGATCGAATCTGTCCGATCGGCGGCGGTTACGATAACCTGCGCCGACGAGACTTATCAGGATACCCTGATAAAGGCCCGGGGAAAGATCGACCTCCCAAAGTTGGAAATAGACTCCCTCCGGGTTTGCGAGGCTGCTACGGGAGCCATGGTTGTAGAGCTCTCGGGGTCGGGCGAGAAAAACGAACCAACGGCGACACAGAGAGCCGATGGCCTCTACGCCGACCTCCGCCGAGTGTTTGCCGGTGAGGAGGGGGTCCGTCTCGCCCGGCCCATCAGAAAGGCGGAGCTGCGGCTCCGCGGCCTCGACCGATCCCTGGCGGCTGCCAATATCGCGGCGGCCGTATCCAGGGAGGGGGGCTGCGTAGTGACGTGCGGGTTGGGGACATTAAGTTCCCAACCCGCGGCCTGGGCACTGTATGGGTACAGTGCCCATTAAGGGCCGCTAACAGAATAGCGGCAGGCCGGGCCCTCCAAGTAGGATGGTCCCGGGCACAAGCGGAGCTGCTGGACAAGCGCCCGCTCCAATGCT